TGCCTATTTAAAGCCTATCTTATATTAGAAAATCTATTTCCTCTTTAATATAACTATAGTTACTCTCAAAACTTATACTAAGGCTTAGTTAGTATATTATATATTCCTACTTCTATATAAAGAAAACTTCTCTTATATAGAATCCATTTCCTAATTAAGATACCGTTTTATTACCGGGAACTAATTACTTTTTTAAAAAGCTAGTATAATTCATTAATTCTTACTATTAATCTATTTCTTGCTATTAAATATTGTCTGAATAATTCTTATATCCTTAATACTAATTCGGAATACCTAATCTTTCTATATTCTATATTAATTTTAATATTAACTATTTCAAACTCAATAATAATACTATAAACCCTATTTATATTATTTTATAGTTTTTTTTTCTATATACTTTAATATTTTTGGTATTACCTTTATTAATATAGATATTACTTTAAAGTCCCAAATAACTAAATAGTTTTATACTATTTAAAGTCAATTCTAATAGATACTAAATAAATATAATTAGCTTTTAAAAGAAATACGAATTAGTTTCGGAAGAAGTAATATCTTATTCTAAATTATTTCTTAATCCTATTATTCTAACTTTTTTTCTATTAATACTTACTTTATATTTTCCCTAATATCTTTAGTATATTTATATACCTTATCTTTTATATATTTCCTATATAATTTCTCTTCTTTTATACTATTTTTTAAGTTAATAGGGACATTTCCAAATAAATAGGGAGGTCGGGATATACCTATATTATAAAATTTTCATTATTTTCTTCTATATTCTAATATTTTAGATATTATTACTATATCTATATTTCTATTATATTACCTTCTTATTTCCCTATTATTACTATTTAGTTTAACCTGTCTTAATTATTTCCTTAATTATATTTCCTTAGGTATATATATTTATATTCTTTTCTATAATAGAAGCCTAATTCTATATTTTATTTTCTATAATTATTCCTAATTCGTAACTATATTACTTTAAATATATCTAATTATTATATCTACTTTCCCTATTATATATATTACTATTTCAGCTTTATTTTCTTACTAGGAAGAAAGAAAAACTCAAATATATATAATATATTTATATAATCTAAGACTATTCCAATTTATTCTTTATTTTAGAATATACTTAAAAGAAATCCTTATAATCTCAAGAACCTTTAATTTTATAACCTATAACTATTATACTAATAATACCTTTATAACCTATTAAGAATAATAAATAGCTAAAGAATAGATTCCTCAAGTTAGTAAAATATAATAGCTAGTTCTTATAAGCTATAGTATTATTAAAAGCCTATAGATTAATAGTATTAAAGTTCAGAGTATTAAAGGAGCTTGGGCAGTTATAGAAGGCCTGCTAATACTAGAAAAGATAGCTATAATTACCGAATTTAATACGAATATTCTAGATAAGCTAAATAATATATATAATAAGCTCTTAAAATAGAAAACCTTTATTAGAAACGGAACTAGACTAGAATTAACTAAGGAGAAGCTAAAGAACTACTAAGCTAATAATAGGGAATTCGAGAATATTATTAAAGGCATTTCCAAAAGCAAATAAGAGAAGCTTAATAAAATTAAGACTATAATAAACGGTCTTAATATTAAGGGTCAGAATAGAATCGTATTATATAGTAAAGCTTTTGGCTAATATATTAATAATATCTATAATAATCTTAGTAAGAATATTTATAAGAAGTTATATTCTCTTTTTAAGATAAAAGCTTTAATATATAAAGCTATTTAGTTAATTAATAAAGCTACTTTAGAGTATATTAAGGATAAGAAGTATTAGAATACTAGTATATTTACTAAATTAGATATTACTAAGATATTCAAGTATACTAAAGCTATTTCGGAATATAGAGAATTAGAGTTTAAGCTACTATTAGCTAATAACCTCAAAGCTAGATAGTATATCTTTAATACTTCCGGAATCCTAATTAAGGGAGTTTATAATAACGAGCCTTTTCCTGCTTTCCGAGATAAGCCTAAAGAATAGGCCCCTATTATGATTTTAGCTTTAATTTAACCGGATCTAGCTGAGAAAAATGGAGCTAATTTAATAGAGCCTAGTAAGAAAACTACTAGTAAGACTAGTAGAACTAGTAAGACTAGTAGAACTAGTAAGACTAGTAGAACTAGTAAGACTAGTAGAACTAGTAAGACTAGTAGAACTAGTAGAACTAGTAAGACTAGTAGAACTAGTAAGACTAGTAGAACTAGTAAGACTAGTAGAACTAACTAGTAGAAGAACTAGTAAGACTAGTAGAACTAGTAAGACTAGTAGAACTAGTAAGACTAGTAGAACTAGTAAGACTAGTAGAACTAGTAAGACTAGTAGAACTAGTATAACTAGATAAGAAGAACCTGGCAAGAATAGAAAGTAAACTAAACCTAAAACTCCTAATAAATAGCAGAAATCTAAGTACTAGACTAAGTATAAAGTTAGTAAAATAATAAAAAGTAAAAAGAAGCCCTCTATATTAAAGAAAAAGATATTATCTAAAAAGACTCTCTTAATTATATCTAGAACCAAGAAGCGGAAAACCAGGAATATTAAGTCCGGAGAACTTAATAAAAATATTTAGTATATTTATAAGATATTAGCTAAATAGAAATTAATACTTATTTAGTAGGATAAGTATATTTTTAAGGAGGTATATAGTAGTATTATAGGACCTATCTTTAAGTAAGAATACTATAGGGTTAATAATAGATTTCTTAAAGCTCCCTATATAATATATACTTAATAATTTACTAATACTCTTTTTATTAATATATAAGAGATTAAGAATACTCTAAAGGTAATTACTAAAATCTATAAAGTTACTAAAGGTAAAAAGCATATTTCTATTACTTAAATAGATAAGGAAATACGAGATTTCTTTTTTAAAAACCAGGAAATTAAGAAATATAAATATAAGTACCATATTTCCGATTAATTCCGCTCTAATCTATAGCTCTAATTCGATATTATAGTCCCTATTCCTGAGTCTAGTATTACTAGTCTAGGTACTAATAGCTATATTTATAAGAAAGATTACCTAAAGTAGATTAAGAAGCTTAGTATTCGAGAGCTCTTAATAGAAGAAATAGAGATACTATAGTTCTATCTCTGAAAAGATAATATATTAATATATAGAGATCTTAGTAATAGTTATTTTACCTTAGCCTCTTAACTTTTAATAGTAGATCTATTAATATGGCTCGGATTTTATGAGATATTAAGTAAGTATCCTATTTACCTAGTTACTTACCCTTAGCTAGCCTAATACTTTACTTCTGGAAATATTAATTATAATTAGTATAAAGGTAATACTAAAGATCTGGCTATTACTAAAGCTTTAAGTAATAAATTCTACCTTAATAAAGAATATTGAAATATTAGCTATATTTTCCTTATAGATTATAAAAAGGCTACTACCTTTAGTAAGAAGTTCTTTAAAGATATTAATTACTTTTCTATTTCTAATAAATTTAAGCCGGAAATAGCTAAGGAAATAGGCAAGTATCTACTAAAAATAATAGGAGAAAAAACTCTAAGTATAGTTTATTTAACTAGATAAATAAATACCTTTAGTTAGATAATCTATAAGTCTGGAATTATAGGAAAGTATTAATTCTCGGATAATATATAAGTTAAAGAATAGCTTAATAATAATTTACTACTTAATAGGCCTTTTGCTATAGTTCCTATAAGTCTAGTTATTATTAAGAATAAAATATATGAAAATGAAGTCTCCTATAAGGTTATTAAAGCCTCTTATCTAGAGCTTTCTCTTCCTATTAAAGGTTAATTTAAGGATACTATAGATAATACGAAATTCGAAGGAACTATCTATTTAGAATATATTAGTATAATTTATAATATAATTTGCTATAATAAGCCTCCTTAATACCCTATAATAAAGGCAGAAATTAAGTAATAGTTAAAGGCGGATACTAATTAATATAGAGAACTATATTGGATTTGGTATAAGAATATAGCTAAGCGGATTCGGATTGCCTTTAAGCAAGTTCGGGAATATGAAATAAGACTATTTAAGGATAATAAGTCTTATTTTAGGTATATAGAAGAGAAATTAGATTAACTAATAGAGGAGGATCCTGAATATTTCATTATTTCGGACTCTGAGTAGGATTTTTCTGTTATTTTTGGTATTTAGGAGATAAATACGAATAAATAGGGGGTCGGATATAGTACGGCAGGCCGTACTTATCGAAAATTATATTATTTTAATGGTTTTGAGGTTTAGGTTATATGGTAAAGGCCACGGCCTTTTATATATAACTTGCGGAAATCATATAAGAAAGCTGGTTTTTCTATAGACTTAGAGAATAATCCTTTATAAGTATTTAATTAATTAAGCTATTATATATTATATACTGTTTATGCTTTACTGTTTACGCTTTTGATTTGTTATTTTGCTATCAAGTCACATTTTGCGCTCTGGTATACTTTATATGGGTTTTTGTCTTATTGCAGTTTCCCTCCCACACTAGGCACTCCCCTGGGTATCCGGTTAGATTACCCCAGCGGTAGCAGAGGCGCTTTTCCTAGTTAATACTCTAGCTATTAATATTTTGTCTATTAATAGCTTGACTACCTCGTAACGAACTGCTCCCCGAAGGTTGGATTAATTAGAATATAAGATACGTAATAGCAGGGTAATATACAAGTAGTCAAGGTAAGTGAGCTATAGAGTAACGCTTGCAAGTGTAACTAATTCCAAGAATCGATTCCAATAAAAGACTAATTAATGCCCCTTTCTAAAGCTAGGAGCGTCTCCCTATATGTTCCCTAGTACTTAGCCAAGCCTGCAAAGCACTTTACTTAACTAGGAAATACGATCCCATGCGATCCGTACAATTCCGATCGCCCGTACGATTCCGATCGCAAGCTTTACCTAAAATAGGAAACTAGATCTACGATATCTGACACCTGTCCATGCGCCATCACGTATGCCCATTACATTAATCCTGCCACCCGTGCGAAAGCAGGGTATAGAAGGAGGCTTTTAATTATAGATAGGCATTCTAGCTATATTAATATGGAGTTTATTAGGGCATATAATCGGCTTAAGATTTTACTTCTGATTTTACCTCCATATTCCACATATCGTCTTTATCCTCTTAATATTAGTTATTTCCTTCTATTAGCTATATGCTATATTACTAAAATTAATAAGATTATGGAAAAGAGCGGGGATATTATTACTATAACGAAAAGGATGTTTTGGGACGCTTTTAAACCTGTATAGGATAGAAGTATATTAGAATCGAATATTTTATTAGTATAGAGCAAAACTGGAATATGGCCCTATAAACCACAAGTTATTCTCGATTTAATCGTCCCACTAAGGCCAGAAACCCCTCCAGAAGTGCCTCTCGATGCAATTTCAACTCCTTATACTACGAAATGCATACGGTAGTTTATAAAGACGTATGCTAAAAATCCAATAAAGGATGCATTTCGCAAGCTCACTAAAGCGAACGAAACGAACGTAGCAAAGGCTTCTATTACAGAGTACCGTATAGAGGGTTTGAAGGAAGCTTTACAGATTGAAAAGAAGAAGAGACATTACGGGAAAAAGCTCAATTTGACAGGAGAGCCTGCAGGAAAGGCCCAGTTCTTTAGGACAGCTGAAGTACTAGCTGCAATTGCACGTGAGAATGGGAAAATTGCAAAGGCTGAACAAGATAAATTGGACAAGCAAAAGGCAAAGGAGGATGCAAAGATTACTAAGGCCACAGAGGATGCCTTGAAAAAGCAGGATAAAGAGTTGGAGAAGCTAAGGAAGGCGGAGGAAAAAGAGATTGCTGATTAAATGAAGGAGAAGCATAAATTGGAGGTTTTGGAACGGGCAGTAGCTAGAAAGGTGGCTACTGCAGCTAGAAATGCTGCTAAGAAGGCCAAACCGTCCCGAGTAATATTGAGGGTAGGGTCTTCGATTTTGTCGAATTTAGGGGCTCAGGAAGCGGTAATAATGGAGGAGGACGATTCTGAAGCTATAGGGGTGGTGCAGACCTCCTGATCGGGAAGGGAGATTATTCTACCACAACGCCTTAGAAAATGAAAAATCCTGATTAGCCAACTTAATGCGCCTAGTTCAATTGCTTTATATTTTTAATTTTAGGCCGATTAATTGTGTGGTTATTTAATAATTAATTAATTGATTCCGTAGTGGGCTGGAAAATTAAGCGTGCGTTGGCTGGGTGCGTGCGTTGACCTTGGATCTCGGTTACCGCGGAAAGTTGCGCTTGTGTTACCACAGAGCAGAAAGTTGCGCTGCCGCTACGTTATGAACTCGCGTAACGGTTCTCATGTCTTCATATATTTAACTAACCCAATTGCAATGAAATTATGTGACCAAAGGTTCCAAATTTGGGAAAGAACTCCAACCAGTTAATTGCGCGAAGCAAAAACTTTAATGCTGCCTGGCCGTAAAAGCGGCAAAGGATTATTGTGCTCAGTGGTGGTCATGAAGTTTCGCCGGCATCCAAGCGATTGCTGCTATCGCATTCGCACACTGGGTTGGACGGTTGCCTACCCACATGCGGCCGAACTGCTTAGCGAATGCTGCTGGGTAAGGTTATTCGGAATCTGTTTTCTGAATCCAATAGTGGGAATCCCTCCCTTCTTCAGAAACGTATCCTCCGCACGAAACCATGTCGTCCGCACGAAACCAGGTCCTCCGTACGAAATCGCTTGTGCTTATTTATACGCTTACAACGCGTACTTTTAAGTCTGGCATGACCGCATAGGCCCCTAAGACAAGGACTTTCAATCCCTTGGTGAATATTGACATACAAAATGAGCCGTCACGATTCACAATCCGCAAAAGCACTGTAAGTTATATTTCTTTTCCCACCTCCATATCACCTCCTCATCTCCGCCTGCTTAAGATCAACACCCAATCTTATCATGCCTACCCTCTCCCCTACTACCACAAGCTTCTCTACCTTCCACAGCATTACGACTGCTATTCCCGCTGAGATCACTTCTCAGATTATAGAATGTGTGATTGCAGACGCTCAGCTACTGCCGATAGGTGGCGGGGTAGGCATGCGCAGGGCTCACCACCCAGTAGCATCTGCTTCTCACGCTTTGCGAACGACCTACCTCAGTCACCCTTACCCAACAACCGCGAAACACAGAACAGCCGCTCCAATCCACCTCAATCTTGGCGAAGCCCTCTACTTTAACGACCTCCGGACCTTGGCTGCCTTCTTCCAGGAGGGCCCAGGTCAGGACATCGCTCTGTCGCGCAAAGTTCGGTTTCTAAGCATCTCCTACGTTGACCATCACGCTGCCACGGACTGGCGGCGGCGAACGATCGACTAACCCTACGAAGCTTTCGAGCTCCTCCATACCTCCTGGAGTGGGTCCTTTAGTAACGCCACCCTAAAACCTCGTCAAGATCCCCGAATTAGGGAATATCAAGTGCTTTCCAGAATCACAATTGGCTAGAGACCCTTGAGTTGGCTAGTGCGGGAGTGGTGTTATCCAGGACCCACTCGAAATTATTCAAAGGGGGAGATAATAATAGGGACCATCCAAAAAGTGAGGCGATAACGCACATTTGGGTGTCTACACCAATTGGTTTTTGCACACTACGAAGATTGCGGCATAAAGTGACGGGATTACAGGGCATTTACGTTCGCATAGGGGTGTTAGCGGACTCCAGGGTGTGGCTTAAGGTACTGCGCCTGCTATAAGCCTTGTAACTCTAGGCCTGAACCCCTAAAACAAGGGCTGTGAGACATTTCCAAGGTGGTGGAAAATCTTCAAGGGTTATGGTGTTGCTGGCGGAGCAACCGTAGCGCTCGGGCGCTGTGAGAGAGCTATTATAGGACCCTGTAGCGAGTATTCCCCTGTAAGTACAGGGGATATGCCTTCTAAAGGTGTGGTACCCCTTGTTTATAGTTTATAGCGTGCTTATAGGAGAGTAGCCTGGAAATATAGGGGACTTTAGTGGGTGAGTGTAGTAGAAAGTGGCCTGAAAGTGGACTTGCGGTACAAATGCCCTGTAATCCCGTCACTTTATGCCGCAATCTTCGTACTTGTTATTCACACACTACTTGGTTTTTACACACCACTTGGTTTCTGTACACCACTTGGTTTCTGCACACCACTTATTACGTGAGATTGAAAAAACGGCTTCTTTATTTTGTTGTATATTGCAAAGGACAAAATAAATGGAAGTGGTCTAATATAATTGCGATTTTATTAATTATTCTAGAAGCATTAGAACGAGAACTACTCAAGTACTTAAAAGTACGCCTTATATATATATATATAATATGTCTAGCTACTATAAGTAAGAAATCAATATTTTTATCTTTTATACGCTAATTTAAACCTGAGTTTCTTAAAAATAAATAAGGCATTTTCTTTTTAAATATATTTGCTTTTCTTAAATAATTATATCTTATATATAAAATTACAAGAGAGAGAACTCTCGAAAACAGAAGAATATATTATAATAATTAAAAAGGCCTATAAATATAAAGAGCTAAGTAATACTAATATAGTATTCTTTATTTATAAGTCTGGGTATTAGTTTATATATAGATTTACTAACTAATAATTATTTCCTTTATTATAAGTAATATATTTAAAAATAATTAAGGCTAATTAAGGCTAATTAATTAGAATTAATTATAATTATTATATAATAATATAAAAATATATTTTCTTATATATTTTTAAAGATTATTAAATAACTAATAGCTATATTAATAAAATATATATAAGAATATAAAACTAGTCTAAATCTGAAATAAAAAACTAGTTATTTTCCTTAAAAATCTTTTCTTTATCTTTTTTATTCTTATTTTCTTCTTTTTTATTTCTTTTTTCTTATTTATAAATATCTCTTAGCTCTTAAAATATATAATTTTCTTAAAGATACTTTTATTAAGTTAATTATATAGTTTAGTATTAATAAGAGCCCCTTAAAAGAAGAAATACTTACTAGTAATAAATAAAGCAAGTATTTCTAAATACTTCTTTATTATAAGAAATAAAATAGAAAATCTAGCTTAATTAGCTTTCTAATATTTTAAGGGCCGAATTTATAGCTAAATTAATACTTATATATAAAGAAATTATAATAAAGGAATTAGTATTTCTTAAGAGAATTTAAAGTAGAATAAATAAAGTTTATATATCTTTTTATTTATTTTCTTTTTTTCTAAATATATTATTAATTTGTCTTTTATTATATTCTCTTAATTATTTATATAAATATCAAGTTTATCTTTATTGAAATCTTCTATAAATATATTAGAACTAGAGTTTTAAAAATTGGCTATTAAATAGTCTCGTTTATATTTATATAAAAATTAGTAATTTAAAAACTTAAAAATTAAATAAAAATATATACTTATATATTATAGTTTATTACAAGCCTATTATATATATTAGATATTATTTCGGGAGCTAATTTAATTCCGGCTAGTCTTACTCTTTTAATTCGAGAATTAAAAATAAAAGCTAAATATAAAGCTTTATTTTTATTATTTAAAATACCGGATTTAGAATAATATTTTCAAAGCTTAGCTATTTTCTTATTAATAGCGTTTTCCAAGGTTTTATTTTATTTAAAATTAGTATATTTATTAATATAATAAGAAATAGGAGGAGAGGATTTATTTTAAATTCTCTTTTAAAACTTTTAAATTTATTATATATTTTATATATTTCAAATATAATATAATATATAATAGAGTAATTTTCGGCTTATAATTTAGTTATAGCCTTAATAAATATTGAAATTATATTTAAAATATTATTTAAATAAGTAATTTCAATATTAGTTAAAACAAGACTTTTATTTTTAAAAGCCTTAGATTTCAAGCTATTAATTATTATTTTAATAGCTTTATATATATATATATAAAGTCTTTTAAAATATAATAAGTCGAAAATTACTATATTTTTCGATTTATAAATAATTAGTATTAATTAATTATTTACTAAATTAAGAAAACCGAGTATTTTTATATTAAAAGCTTTAATTTAAGCTTTTAATAGCCATTGATTTTCTTGGTTATATTTAAGACTTATAATAGTTTTTCTACTTTTTCTTCAAATTAATAAATCTCTTATAAATTATATAAGAAACTTACTTATTACTTGTTTTATTTCTTTTACTTCTTCTTTTTCTTTAAATTTATTTTTTCTTACTCATATAAATTCATAAAATAAGAAGTATTATAATTATTTTTAATAAGAGCTTTTAAAATATTTCGAATTACTAGATTTAATATATAAGCTATATAAGAAATATTTCCTTGAAATTTAATGTTTTTCTTATTATAATACTTTATAAAAGCTTTTAATAAGATATTATTTAAGCTAGTATTATCTCGAGTAATATTAAATAAAATATATTAGTATTTTTTTTTTAAAAAAAAACAAGATTTATATTACTTATCTAGTAATATTATATTTAATACTATAAGCTTTTAAAGCTTCTAATAAAACCGAATTTATATATTTATTATTATAAATATCTTTTAAATCTTTTATAGCTAACAAATAGAATTTTAATTTAAAATTCTTATTTATAAAATATTTAAAAATTAAATTAATAAATATTTTTATTAATTATTATTAATAAAAATAGCTTATATAGTAATTCCTAAATAAGCCTTCTTATTTATAACTATTCAAGTATTTAAAGTAATAGAAAAAGCATTATTTAATAAGATATTATCTAATAATTCTTTTTTTATAAAATTATTATTATTATTATTATTATTATTATTATATTTTAAAATAAGTTTATTTATAAGTATTTTAGAATATGAAAATAATATTTTATTATATAAAGGTTAATTATATATTAATATAAATAATTTTAGATAAAACTTACTAATTTAAATATTAAAATAGCTTTAAAAGAAATATTATTATTAATTATAAAGTTTAATAATAATTTTTTAAAATAAATTATAATAAAGCCTTTACTAGTTTAAAATAATTAAATAATAGATATTTAATTAAAGTTTTAAGAAATAGTTATAAAAATTATTAATTATTTTATAATTAATATTAATTACTTATAAAGTTTATTACTATTTAATATAATATCTATATTAACTAATTTATATATAGTAAGATAATAGGCTTTATAATTGCTTATTAATTAGCCGATTTATTAAATTTTGAATTTTTTACTAAAATAATATTAGTTATTTAAAATTAAATTAATAATATATATTAATTATATATAACTCTTAAAGAAGTATTAAATAGTAGCTATTTAATAATTATTAATATTTTCCCGATTAGCTTTAGAAGAATTTAAAGTATTTTTTTATTAAGCCAAGCTTAAAAATAAAAGATTATTTCGAAATTAGTTCTAGTTTGAAGTTCTTTTTATTTTAAAGAATATTAAGATTAATAGTAAATTACTAAAACATTTTCGAATATATTAAGTAATAATAAATAAGTTTATAATTAAAAGCTTTTTAATTAGAGCTATAGTTATTAAGATATTTATATATAAAATAAAGAAAAAAGAAAATAACTTGAGAAAAATTACTTATTTATATATAAATTCTCTAGAATCTAGAAGATTCTTTAATAAGTATCTAATTAGCTATAATTCCTTAATTCTAAAGTATTCATATATAAAAGGGCTTATTTTTAGCTATTTTATTTATAATAATTCGATTTATAAAATAGCAAGGAATTACTAGAAAATCGAGTATATTCTAGTATCTTTAACTTATATTACCTTACTTATTAAATAGTATAATACTCGATTTAGTAAGAAGTGCCTGAAGTAATATCGAATACAGCTAGTCTATATCTTATTTTAGCTTTATTTCGGCTTCTAAAGCTTTAGAGTTATATATATAATTATATAATAAATCTAATTAATTATCTTTAATTATTATTAAATATAATTAAATATAATTTAATTAGCTTGATTTTGACTTAATTTAATTTAAATAAAAAAATTTAATTAATTTAAATATAATTATTTAATAGATTTATTATAAAATAAAACTATAAGTTTTATAATAAAATAATAAATATTATATTTACTTCTAATAAATTTATTATTTTAGAATTTCTAATATTAAAAGCAAAATTATTCTATAATATATTAAATAAAAAGATATTATATTTGAATTAATATAATTCTATATTTGAGTTTAAAAATAATATAGGCTAATTATTATTATAAGTTAATTATATTATAAATAAAATATATTATTTATAAATCTATTACTTATAAATCTATTACTTATAAATCTATTATTTATGAATTTATTAGCTATAAAGCTATTTATTATAAGTATATTATTTATAAATATAAAAATTAA